CCTTCCCAAAAAATAGTAGAGAGTCACTTTACTAAAAATACATGTTTAACCGTGTAATATCTAAATTATGTAACAATGAGTAGGTACCTATAGATGCAACTGCCATGGTGCATTCATTTTGTTAAAGACCTCAGTGTCTTTTAGGAAAAAGGCAAGAGCAATGGGGTGAGCAAAAAAGTTTTTCTTTTATCCCTAATTAATACTAATTTTAATGAAGAGACATCCTAAGTAGCTCAGATGGAATAGCAGTCGCCCGGCAAGCGAAAGGTCGTAGGTTCGATTCCCACATTAGGCAGGTCGATTTTTTCAAGTTTTTTATAATGAAGTCGTTCAAAAATTACTTGATGATCTCACTTGCTGTGCATTTAACAAACACCATACAAATGACATTAACTAACCTCATCACGGCACAAACAATCAATGGGCCTGCTATACATTCATTGAGCTTTCCTCGCGGGCATAGACAATATGTTTAGCTCATTTCTTTTATCTTTGATGTCGCCGATATGCAAATGGACGGTGGTCAGCTACCAACTGATGTGTTTCCGATTGACGATCGATTGTGAATCAATAATTGTTGCATATTTTTGTGAGGATCACATCAACTAGGACTAGAATTCAGTTGAAAATGTACTAGTGGTGTACAAAAAGTAATGACAATGGGATATTTCTAGCCATCACAAAAATCTGAAATAATTGGGTACGTAGGTATATGAACTCTTAAAAAAATCATTTATTTTCGCCATTTTGTTTAAAAATTACATTCACCTGAACATGGCCAGTCAGATGATTTGCTGAAATAATCCGAAAAAAAATAATACGCTTTTTTCTACTTATCAGGGTCACTATCAAAATAAAATATAACCTTTATTTGATCTCTCCCAAAAATCCATTTTGTATGCACCTATCGTTCAACTTTTCATAATTTCCTCATATCCTGCAACATAAAACTCAATTACTTCATTTGTATCTTAACGACATAGTTGTTATTACTACACCAGGGTTTCTCAAACTTCATACATTGAAGTTTTCTATTAAAAAAGGTTCGTTCGTTCGTTTCAGCCGAAAGCGTTCTACTGCTGGACAAAGGCCTCCCCCAAGGATTTCCACAAAGACCGGTCCTGCGCCGCTCGCATCCAGGCACCTCCCGCGACCTTCACCTAATCGTCGGTCTACCTAGTGGAAGGCCTGCCCACGTTACGTCTTCCGGCTCGTGGTCGCCACTCAAGAACATTCCTGCCCCAGCGGCCATCAGCTCTAAAAAATGTGCCCCGCCCACTGTCACTTGATTTTAGCGATTCGGCAGGCTATGTCATTCAGATGTCTATGTATTAGAAAAGGTACGTCCAATAAATAGGTGTAGCTTGCCTTATCGTCACTTCGGTCGGGACAACATATCGACAGAATTGTAAGATGCCAGTAAAGAAGACCTAATTTTGATATAATTTGATTAAACTTCGTGAAAAGAGGATGCTGTCCAGCAAGATACAGGGATTACATAGCTGTAAATGCTCATAAAGGTAGCATGAAGGCGCTGGATGCAGGCCGCCACCAACCAGCCATTGTGGAAATCATTGGGGGAGGCCTATGTTCAGCAGCGGACGTCCTATGGCTGAAATGATGATGATGATGCCCGTTAAAGGCTCATACTTTGAGAACCGGTGCGTCAGATCACAAGCGCCGGGAAATCAAAACCGATTCTTTTCCCAAGCTATTCCAAGAAATTTCGTGTTGAAATTTTATAATCGTTTTATAATATCGACGCAAAAGTCCCTTTGATGTTCCGCCAACGGACAAACGGCGATTCCAATTATTCTATTAGCATATCGTATTGTTGACATTTTAAGCAGGCCAGTGTAAGTGGAGCTGCCGATTGATGGACAATATTGATAAAATTATAAGGCTGTGTCAAATGGGCATGGATTCTAAATTAGTTTGGAACAGGAAAAGCGTAGAGAATAAAAAAGAAATTAACAAATAATAAAAATAAAGAAGAATTTTTTAGCACTAATGCCAAAAAATTATGTCTAATGTGTTTTTCCCAGCTTCATCTTAAATTTTCTACCAGTATGATCCTAATTTTGACCCAAATTCTTGAAGTTTTTGTTCTTTGTGTGGTACCTACTTGAATATCTGAGTTTTGGAAGGTGAATAAGATCTAACGACAGCCGTATTGAGAGAGATTATAAATAATGTAATAAATTCATCTAAAGGTAGCAAGCAGGAAGGCGCTGGATGCAGGCCGCTACCAACCGTCCGATATGCCTTTGTTCAGCTGTGGACATCTGAAATGATGAAATAAGTAGTTATCATCCCCTTGAAACTTTAGAAAAAAATTTAAAAAAATATTTTCACTGCTTTTTCTATAGAAAAAGACGATTGATAGTGTTTTTGCGTATTCAAAGAGGATATATAAACGTTTTAATGCTTGTTGTAGCGCTACCGAAAGCCATTAAACAAGCTATAAAATAGTTTACAATGCACCGTTAAATCCTAATACTGATTCTTTCTAGAACACCTGTGTTAAACGCCATTTTGGATTTTTACGCGCGCTTCCTGACATGATTTTTAATCTGTGCCCAACTTTTCGTTTTATTTTTTAATTGCGGTTCGATGAAAGGCGAAGGCATTATGCGGCGCGCGTCCTAGCGGCAAGCAAAGACGCTATTGTATACGTGTAGCATCCGTAATGCATCGGCTATGCACTTTTAATTGATTGTCTGTGGCGGTCAGCGTCACGTCGCCCATAGACAATAAATAAGTCAGTTTGTGAAATAAAGACCGCCACCGGTTATCGGGAATTCAAATGGACGTAATATCCTTTTGGATTGGAATGTGCACGTATACTTTTCAAATAAAAATTTATTGACTCATACGTTTAAGTAGCTATAGTTTCCAACAACATGTTCTATGCATTTCAGTTCTATGAGTCTATAGAGACTTCAGTTTGTTTGATAAAGTTTTTTGAAAAGAAGCTAACTACATCAAAAATCAAGGGAACACGTACCCTAACTTTACCACACACATACACAGCCTAATTCACACTTATCTTTTTCCCTCTACATTGCCACTTAAGTTAAAATCACAGACTCATCATCACGTTAGTCAGTCTCAGATAGGAGCAGGACCCTATTTAATAGTATTTCTAACAAGTCTTGTAGGACTCCGTTTTCATTTTCATGGAATTAATAGAGCATGGTACCTAACATAATATACATCACAGTGGTGGGTCCTGTAACGTGCGAGATAGATAGACTCTCCCAACTTGGAAACTCCGGGATTAATCCCTATGGAGTACTATCATCATCAGACCATTCAGTCTCTACTGGAGCACGACCCTGTCTAATTCACAAGACGCAAAAGGAGAGAATTTGGCCTACATCCTCTGGCCCACGATGGGGAGGCTACTCGAAACATGCTCGTATATTCCCTCCTCAATAATTTCTCGTGAGCCTTGACCAGCATGGGGAGTTTAGTATAGACCACTTGCCTCTGGTAAATTAGAGAGGATCGTGCGTGCTTCTGCACTGCCAAATGTTGGTCTCGAAGCGCTGGTAGGGTAAAAAGATTATGAGACATGTAGAGGCTCCTTAAGAGCAAAATATTTGACGATTTGTAAGAACTATTTAATAGTCTATACAAATAAAGAAATTTTGACTTCGACTGAATAGTAGAACTAGGAGACTAAATGACCTGCTGACGAATGTCTACGTGCAAAAAGTCCCCGCAGAATAAGGCTAACCAATTAAACAATTGCAACCGTCGGTGTTGATTTATCGTCGATTCATTAGAATCGGGACGCCGCGCGTGCGCAGAATATGGAGGGAATAGGGCTGTGATTTGTGAAATTATTTTAATTCGATCAATTTAATATGTCAGTCACTTTGGTTCTCCTGCGGATCTCCTCATTTCTGGTTCGATCACGCAGGGAAACCCCGAGCATAGCACATCACTGTTGTGGGTGGTCCCCTACATGAATGTACCAGCTAACCACCAACAGGCAAAGATGGCGAGACATTGTAATGCGATCAAAATCCGCGCATACAAATCCACATTCCTTACGACCACGATCACTCTATTAAGAGTGCAACGACAGAGAGGAAATAACTTTAAGAGAATAAATCCTGCTAATATTATAAATGCGAAAGTTTGGATGTCTGGATGTTTGTTACTCTTTCACGCAAAAAATACTGAACGGATTTTGACGCAACTTTACAGTATCATTGTTTATAACCCAGAATAACATATATGCTATAATTTATGACGATCTGTGACAAACTAAAGGACAATGCCCATTTTACTATGGGAGTCTGTACCATGTTGCATCAACCTGAATTTACTCTCAAAAGTCTAGTTTTTATTTACCTTTTCGCTACCAACATGTTTTTTTCAATGTTTAGCCGGATTTTCAAAATATTTGAAAAAGTTAAAAAACGCCTGAATATTTTTTTTTAGCAATGTTTAATCGTCGTGTCATTGCTATTAATCTATTTATTACAGATATTTATGCGTTTTGGGTCGCATTGCTGTAAGTAAAATGCTTTGCATGTTATAGATATACTTAGTACACTTGCGCAATAAGATGAGATCCGTCCTCCTTCGTCTGCTCCCCCGCACGTGCCGTTTTCGACCTATAGTATCTATTGATATTACGCCCTCTTTGTACTAATGTTATTTAACGCTTTATCCATGCCTATCCAGAACACGAACTTAACTGTTAAAAGACAATGATAAATAAATATTAAATTATGAATACCTAAACTTACTGCGTGTTACTTTATATTAAACTAATTGTGCCCGCGGATTTCGTACGCGTGAAAACAGTTCAGATAACATTTCCCATTTTTGCAACATTTTAAACGTAGTATAATTATCTAATGCATTGCCTCATTATCACAAAAATATTAAGTTTTAAGAAGCCAGTTATGGGCAGTGTAGTTCAATTACTATTAGTAGATCATTTAAACATTTATCAAGGTAACACAAATAAAATAACTATGTATAATCATTGATCAGATAACATTTATTTTTTAAAGTATGTTATGTGATGATTGTAATCTTTTTAACTTGTATATAGAGAGCCAGTACAGTTTATGTGCAAATAGTGATTGGCTGTGCTCGCTACTCGGATATAGAAGAGGTAATTCTTGACGGTGACTTGTCTGTTCTTTGAAGTTCTTCTTCTCTTATTGGCCTTTGAGGATCATGCTGCTGCTGTCTGTCGACTGTTCTAGTAGCTGTTCTCCAGCACACCTCTCAAGTCTGGATACCTAAAATAATTTTTAAATTGCATGAATTTCTAGATACTTAACTTACTCAATAGAAAAAATAATTATGGATTAAGTCTCCAATACATGTTATTTTAATTTCTCATAAATATTGTACTTACAAGATGAGCGCTGTCTATGCAAAGACATTTCACTGTGGAGATTCAGGTCTTATTTAATAATTATGTTTTTCTTTTAGTGCATAATAATGCACACCACCACAGCCAAAACAAACGCTCTGATGGCCAACTTCAGGGCTGCCAATTGTTGCTTCTTGCAACAGTAAGTTTGTAGCAATTGTGGCATATTATATGTTCCGGTTACCTGAAACAAGCAATATTTGTTAATCTGTATTAAATTGTACAACAAAAATGGAAATTGAAACCAGGACATCATCTACAGCAATGGAATTTTTTGCGGAATGGCGGAATTGGCAACAATTAAGGCCATCAAAAATATTGTAAGACAGAATTTATATACCTATAAGTGGTATCATTAATAAAAACTACAAAATATACATACCTACATCAAGATCATGAATAAGTTTATGAATGAGTAATAAAAAAACTAACCAAAGTAGGTAGGTATCACCCATGAGTTCAAAACTTCTAATATATTGTTGTGCACACTTTCCACTGTGTGTATCAATGTGTTCCTTGGTACTGCCAATGGACAGTTGATACATCGTCGGTGATTACTCTCTGGACTCAAACTGCCTGTTCGATTCATTTTTATTGAGGCAGGCAGGTAGCATAAACGCCGGCCGGCATCTACCAACAGAGTTACTATCTCGCACGGTAAAACCACTATCCCGATGCACCACAACACAAGAGTCACTATCTCAAGACTGTCAATAGTCAATAATATCGTTCGAGGNAAGGCAGGTAGGTAAACGCCGGCCGGCATCTACCAACAAAGTCACTATCTCGCACGGCACTTAGAGTCACTGTCACTATCTCGATGCACCACAACACAAGAATCACTATCTCAACACTGTCAATAGTATCGTTCGAGGAATTAATTTAATGAATAACCACTAAAACATAGATCGATCGATACAGACATAGGTACCTAAACGAAAGACGAAACTCAAATCGCCATAACCTCAAATTGACAATGACACTTGATAGTTTTTTTATTTCGGTGTTCCGAAACGCTCTAATTGTAATTAATGGTGATATATAATAAAACAGTTTTTTTAAATCGTTTGAAGTAGTTAAGTTATTATAAAAATCATTATTATTATTATTAATAATAAAATCATGTTTGCTTGCTAAAACTTACTTGGCAAACAAGATTTTTATTCTCATTGCTCACTCACGAAAATGGTGACAGCTGAAATCGGAACAAAAGTTTTCGGAAATAATTTTTGTGCGGAAGTATAAGTTCTAATCATGTTTCGTATATTTAATTTGAATGTTCTAAATCCGGTTAAGAAAGTCGGTTAAAAATTAATGAAGTACACATATAATAACCCCCTTACTAATAAAAAGTTACACAGTTGTTGAACACTGTTTTAAAATGACATTTCCATACTGAACGTCACTTTAAAACACTGTTCAACGAGCGTGTAAGTTTTATTAGTAAGGGGGTTAAAATATTAGTTTTGATGATTAGCCTTTGACGCAATGTGTACAGGTAATGGGCCCAAATGATGATGACCACAGATGATGACGCATTTTCTGATTTTCCTGTGATAATTTTAATACATATTATTAACCTACACACACCGGCATATTTAGGGGAATGGAAAAAAAGTATGAAAATAGATAATATTACTACGGATCTATTAGGGATGTTATGGATGTGTAGTTTCGGTTATGGATACGGTTATGGCTATAGGAATAATATTATACCGGTTTCGGTTACGGTTACGGATATCTGTGCTTTAGAATGCAATTTGCAATAGTTTTCCAACACGGTTCATTCATGGCCGCACACTTTACATCGAATAAAAAGTAAAAAATAAATAAAAATTGATACTAGATGGCATTATAAAGGTAAATCAGGCTGTTATGCCTTTACATATAATGCTATACATAAACAAAACAATTTAAACTGCCTACATCCGAAACTTTTGAATCTATTACGGTTACGGGTTCGGATATTTTTTTATTTCGGATATCCGAAAGTGTCGCTTATGTTTACGGATATCCATAACATCCCTGGTATCTATGAAATATTTATTGTACAAAATAAAGAAATAAACAAAATAAAATAACAGATTTTACAAAAATTAAGTATTTTTTTATAATAAAATAAATAAATCTTTGGACAATTTCACACAGCGCCAGCTAGCCCCAAAGTAAGCAACTTAATGCTTGTGTTATGGGTGCTAGCTTAACGGATATACTACTTATATACTTCTTTTGAAATACATACCTACATAATAATATTATACATAACTTAACACTAATAGGCTAATATTTTATATCATGCGGTAGTTTTTTTCTACTTAAATCCATTCTAATTCCCTTAAAATGTATGAAACTTGTATCTGTTTTCTATTTTTACCACTAGATAATTTTATAAGCTAACCCATGATATAAAATATTAGCCTATTAGTGTTAAGTTATCCACGCTATCACTTGATTTTGAAGCTAGAGGTGAATTTAAAAATTAAAAACTTAAATCCTTGTAATTTTGCGAGAAACGGGTCAAGCCCTAAAGTATTGTCATCCATAAAATTGTCCATATATTACTCCCTTAAAGTTTGATCACTACATGCCCGGACACATTGTAAGTATACCATGATTGATACTTTTGGAGCCGGCGTCAAGATTATGAAACGTANTTTTTCGGAAATGATTTTTTGTACGGAAGTAATTGTTAATCATGTTTCGTATAATTAAATCTAATTTTCTAAATCCGGATAAGAAAAACGGTTAAAAATTAATGAAGTACACATATAATTAAAATATTATTTTTGATAATAATTAGCCTGTGATGCAATTTGGTACAGGTAATGGGCATTGTCCTTTGGTATTCTGCTAAAACTTGTTTACAATATGAATGAAGTCGTAATGTAATTGTAATGGGATCGTAATTGAATAGATAACGGTGTTGCCATTAAAATNGGACGAAACTCAACAAATCGCCCTAACCTCAAATTGACAATGACACTTGATAGTTTTTTATTTCGGTGTTCCGAAACGCTCTAATGTAATTAATGGTGAGATAAAATAAAACAGTTTTTTTTAAATCGTTTGAAGTAGGTAGTTTTATTATTATGAAAATCATGATTATTAATAATAATATTGATAATAAAATCATGTTTGCTTGCTAAAACTTACTTGGCAAACAAGATTTTTATTCTTATTGCTTACTCACGAAAATAGGTGACAGCTGAAATCGGAACAAAAAAGTTTTCGGAAATGATTTTTTGTACGGAAGTAATTGTNATATTACTCCCTTAAAGTTTGATCACTACATGCCCGGACACATTGTAAGTATACCATGATTGATACTTTTGGAGCCGGCGTCAAGATTATGAAACGTATGAAATTTGCCGGCACTTTTTAGTTAAATAATTATTTATTTTTTGCTTTTTAGGACTGATTTTTCAATCGTCAATGAGATGATGACTACCTGATGCAAACACTTGAATAACTTTAGAATGATGATATTGATGCCTTTTTTTCCGTTCCCATAAATATGCCCGGTGAGTGTATTCTAACATTTTTTTTCTACATAGCGGTATTCCGACCTCTTTAGTTAAAAGTTTTTTTTTAATTGCATTTTTATAGTTTTAATCTATTATTATGTCACACATTCTCTTGTCATCAAACTCTCATTCAAATACCAATTTATATAAATTTTATTGTCATAAATTCAATTAAATTAATATCAATTTTGGATGTTAACCAGTAGTTATCCGAATTTTGTTTGTAAACATGAAGCGAGGAAAAAAACTTTGTGTGTTTGGAAGAACAAAAAACTGTTTTCCTTCAATATCGGGATGAATTTGTGGGAGTTTCAGAAATACCAAGTTCATGCAGCTCTGTGTATAAAAGTATAAGTAAAACATTATCTTGTCGTATGTCTCCATACGCGTTGTACTTTTCGGCTAAACGGAACTTTGTTTATTTTTTTGAAAGTGACAAAAATGCTAGTGACAAAAATAGTAGTGGCAAAAACGATAGTGACGAAAATAATACCGACATTACAAGCACAAGCAGTGACGGTGAGTGTACTGGCGACAACGTTAAGAGCACAGCAGCTGCGACAGACAGTGATAGGGAGGAAAATTTAATTTCTTTTGTTTTATCTACTGAAGAGTGGCAAGAAATCCAACCAAAGATTTACCCTGGAGTTCGAAATGATAAGCAAAAGCCAACAGTTTTTAATCGTAACAAACGAAGAATGCCAAAAGACAAATGGACCGATATTATGAGGGAGTACATTTGGAAAAAAACATCAAATCGATGCTCATGGGTTTTTAAAACCAATTCAGCTAGTGACAATTATTCTGTAATGACAAAGGGACATTGTAAAACGTGCAATGGTAGAATTGCATTTCATACTAAAAAGAAAGATGATTGTGTATCTGTTCACTGTACAATGATAAATGTAGATTCCCAGCTGATACATGATCCTATCAAAAAAATACGATTAACGAACTTCAAGAAAGAAAAATTAGCTACTCAATTGAAAAATCAACATTCTATTGTTGTAAGAAATAAATTACTGAATTGTAATGTCACTGAAAACGAAACGCAAGAACCACCATTTGTTCCTGATTTGAAAACTTTACAAAATATAAAAAGTAGAACCAATTTCAAATACTTTCACAAAATTGTTGTACTTGCGTTATGGATTATGTCTCTTACACCGCCTTATGACAAAGTGGTACGAAATATTTCGCTACATCCATTTTTCGTTTATTACTGGACTGAAGCCCAACTTAAGTTTTATAGGACGTTTTCACGATCGAATTACACGTCAATTAGCCTTGATGCTACAGGTTCATTGTTTAAAAAAATACAGCCACCTATAGACTCTTCTCAACGACAGACCGCGAAACATTTATTTTTGTACGTAGCAGTACTTAAATTACAAAAAACATCAGTCGCATTGACACAGATGATTTCAGAAATTCAGACAATGGACACTATATACATGTGGTTAGTAACCTGGATAAATACAATGACTAAACCAAATGAAGTAATCACTGATGACTCTAGTGCCTTAATTGGAGCCTGTGTGAAGGCCTTTACAACATTGGATTCGACTAAAGAATATATCAGGCACTGTTTTAAGCTACTTGAGGGACAAACAAAAGATATTCCTGCGTGCTTCATGCGCTTAGATACGTCTCATTTTGTAAAATGTTTATATAGACTCCAATGCTTCAAATTAATAGACAAACGAGTAAAGAAATTCTATGTCGGAGTGTTGTTGCTTTTAAAAGATTGTTTAAGTTACTCGGAAGCGAAAGAAATAATAAGGAATATAGTGATTGTATCTCTGAACAGATTTGACCGATGCACTGAGGATAAGGAGAAAACTAAATGTGAAGTAGCCAAGGAAAAACTAATAGATGCTGTAAGAAACTTAAAAGAAATAAATTATTTGGACGCTGAATCGGAAACACACGCTGAACAATCTATAAATGAAGGGGATGATCACACCGACGACGATGTATTAGGCTGGCTTCGCTCACTAGTAGATACAGAAAAGTTATATGCCGACCTCTGTGAAGAAACAAAATACGAAAACGTGTATTATCTTCCGAGTTTTATTGACACTCTTATAAAACTTATTTATAGGCTTCCTCTTTGGGCAAATGTGATGGTGCCATTCCTTAATGTAACAAAATATACACCGAGTAGTAGTAACGTTGAAAGCTATTTCAAAAACATCAAACAATT